TATATATAACTCTTATAGTAATAGAAATACCCTAGGTATATAACCTAGGCTTATAACCTATTAGGACAATAGGTAGGCTTAGGTCTCTAAGAGAGAATAATAGCCTAAGAGTATATAAGAGAGTATATCTCTTATATAAAGATATATCCTATAGAAGTAAAAATATAAGATAACAGGGGTAAATATAAAGATATAAGGATATAGATATAAAGAGAGTATAATAGTTAGTCTTATTATTTTATTACTAACTGTTCTATTTTACTTACTTGCTTACTTACTTAGAGAGAGAATAAGATAGACTAGAAACAGGAAGAAATCTAGCCCTTATATAGACGTATCTAGCTTACTAGAATATTCTATACTTGCGTAAGCTACTTAGAAATTAAACTAAGATTACGTAACTTATTAACCCTAGTTAAATAACCCTAACTTAAAGTAGTAACCTTGTTAAAGAGATAGTGTTAAGAGGAGGTTTCTTAGATATTCTAGTACCTTCTCCTATCTTCTAGTAATTACGTAATTAGACATGCTTACGTAATTAATATATATATTAATCTACTAAGTTAGTAGATTATAAATATATATATCTTATATATATATAACCTCTATAATAGAGGAAATATAAGATAAAGAAGTATTAAGAGTATAAGAGATACTCTTAGTTCTTATACTTCTAATAAATATACTTTCTTTAACTAATAGATATAAAAGTCTTTTAATACTTTAAAAAGGCCTAATAGACAGTACTCTATAAGTATATATAGAAAGGCAACCTTATATTTACAAAAAGTAACTTTATTATTACCCTTAATACTATAGTTAAAAAGGCCTTTACTACTACCTATATTATAAAGGGTTTTAAGAAGGCAAGTATATAGCCTATATATAATAATATTATATTTAGCTAACTAGTTAAAAGGATATAATAAAGTAATAAAGATATACTATTATATTTTATTTATTATTTACTATATAATAACTACTTTAATAAGGTACTTTTTACTACTAACTATATAGAGAAGAAATATAGTAGTATATAAAGTAGTCTTTTAAAAAAAGGATTTAAAGTAGTAAAGTAAGTAATTTATAAAAAATCTTTTACCTATAAGTACTAGTAGTAACACCTTAAGGACTAAAATACTAGACTAGAGATATAGTAATAGAAAAGCTAGTGCTAGTAAGCTATTAAACTATAATACTTCTTTATAACTAGTATTACTATTATAAATATAAAAGAAGTATATAATAAGTAAGTTATAAAGGTAATATAAGTAAAAATATAGCGCTAATAGGTAGTAGTAAAAAAATAGCCTATAAGTAAAAAAAAGAAGTCTAGTAGTAATATAGTACTACTAAGTATTAAGAGGTAAATAAATAAATAAAGTAACTAACTTTTAAATAGTAGCTAGTCTATACTAGAAAAGATTAACTATATATCTTATTTAACCCTTTAGATCTATAGTAGTATAATAATAATACTAAAAGTAAAAAGAAATTTACTATTAACTTTAACCTAGCTTCTTTACTATAGTATATACTTAACTAATTTAAGTATATAATAAGACCTCTTAGTTAAAGTAATATTAATTAAGTATTAGCTAATATAGCTATAGAGGCAGTAAGGCTAGAATTTAACCCTAAGATCTTTATAAATATTAATAACCTTGTTAATAAGGATATTAATTTAGTTATATTAAGTAAAAAATTAGTTAGTATACCTAGGAGTAATAATAATAATAATAGTTATATATTATTACTATTACTACTAATAACACTAATAGCTAGCCTTTTAATATTATAAGGTCCTTTATAATATAAGTTATAATATTATACTATAAAGAATAAGATAAATAGCTAGAGGGCTATAGAGGTTATACTATAAAATTACTTATTTATACTTTTATTAATAACATATATATATAGTAAGTAGTACATTATAGTAAGTAGTATATATCTACTTACCTTTCTATCTTTTTAATAACTTAATTTAACTAGATTATATAAAATTAATTAAAAATATATATTACCTTATTCTTTATTAGTATCCTAAACTACCTTATAGGTTTATACATTATATCTAGTCTTTCTATAATTGCTACATTATTGTGCAAGTAGTTTACTACTCTCTGTATAACCCCCCTTTTAGGATATTTCCTTACCTTTAGCTTTAATAACGTCCTTTTCTCCTTATAGTGCCTCTACTTTAGCTATATTAAGTAATCCTCTAAGACATAGTTAGGTCTTTTTAGCCCTTTAGTGCTTACTAAGTACCTTTATCTTTATATAAAGTTAATAGTTCTCTGCCTTAATAATAGTAAGTTAATATACTAACTTACTAATACCTTTTAACTATAAGTTAATTACCTTGTATATTAGTGTTAGTAAACTTCCTTAATAGTCCCTAATCCTTTTTTTTAATAAAGTAGAGCTTTATATACCTTTAATTACTATTATTAGTGTCTTTAGGTCTTATAAGCCTAAGCTAGTTAAATATAAGTTAACTAGTGTTAGTGTCTTTAGCTTAAAATCTAGGTAAAAAATAATAACTTTAGGATTAAAAGGTATAAGATTAGCCTATTAGAAACCTACTTATATATTTATTTCTCTTATTAAAGTAAAGAATACTACTTTAAAGGCAAGAAAAAAGTTATCCTTAGTAATATATATAATTTATATCTATATTATTTTCTTAATTTCTTTACTATATAAGTGCTTTAAAAGGCTAAAATAGCTAATATTAAGAGGCTAAAGCTTATATAATAAATAAAAAGGTATATATAAAGTAATAATACCTTCTTTTTTATAGTAGTTATTAAATTTAGTTAATTTATAGCTATTATAGCTATCTAGGATTAGAAGGTAATAAGTACCCTTTGTATAAGACTTTATACACTAATTAAAGTGCTTTAGCTAATCTAGGCTAATCTTATTTATAGTTTATCTATTTTTACTTAAGTAAATACACTATATAGCTAGAAATTTACTATTAAGGTACTATAATAAAAGGTAATATTTACCTTTTATAATAATATATAAAGATATTACTTAGCTATCTATATATATACCTTAAATAATAGAAACCTATTTATAATTACTAGGCTACTTTATACAAGGCCTTCTACGTTAGTTAGAAGTTATAATAACCTTTATATACAATAGTATTCCTATTAGGAACCTAGTCTTATTAAAATTATAGATATTATAATCCTATATCCTATACTTTATAATTATATTTTATATAAGTGTAAACTAGCCTTATATAATTGTAGGATCCTTAGCTAAGGCCCTCTAATAGTTAATTTAACGTTAAAATTATATTTTTAATTAAGGTTATTATTATATAAAGTTCTTTGCCTATTAAGGTCTAATATATATCCTATTATATATATTAAGAAGTTAATTAGCTATATCTTATATATCTTCTTATTATAGAGGAAATCCTTAATTAATTAGGTTAATAACCTTTTTAAGAATTACCTTCTCTTTAGATATAGTTATCTTTATTAATTTTAAACATGTCTTAGCTTATGTAACTTTTTTAGTGTATTAATAATAGAGTATAGTTTTAGGTATATTATAGATAAAGGCTACCTTTTATATAGATAGATTTTAGTCTTTTTAGATAGCTATAATTACAAGGATAATTTAGCTTTCTTAAGAAGAGGATTCTATTATTATATATAGAGAAAGGTTAATATAAAGATAAAGCTAGTAGAAATAAGGTAGATATATACTACTTACTATAATATACTACTTACTATACATATATATTATAAATAAAAAAAGACTAGTAATATATAGTAGATAATAATAAAAGTAATACCTATATTATAGTAGTAATATAAATTTATAGTTATTATATAAAAAGAAAAAAAAAGGTACTATTATAAAGCCCTTAATTAAGGCTATTAATTAATACTACTCTTGTTATTATATAACGTTATAGGCATTATTACTTTAAGAAATAAAAAGTTAACTATACTATATAATGCATATAAAAGTAAGGGTATTTATAATAGGGGTTAGTAACCCCTTTTTTAGAGTGGCAACCCCATTTTTTTGCCCCCTCCGTGAGGAGGGGGTATTTAGCTCACAGCGCTGACTAAGTTGCCCCCGGGTAGCTAGACGCACGACAGGACTTTATCGGAGTTGAGGAGAGCGGCGCCGACACCGGTTGTTGGCGACCGTGGAGCTGTGGAACCGCGCCACAGTGGCAGGATTCTGGAGGGAAGAGGCCGTCATGATCAAACGGGACCTAGAGATGATTTTACGTGCAAGATACAGCCATAGGATTGGGCGTGTGGCCCTGCGCTGTTGTGGCTGAGACTATGGATCCACTGTGGAGACCTGCCAGAGGTTTTCCTCTGGCAGTTCTCCACTCTTTTCGATCGGTTGGCCAAAAAAAGTCTACCGGTATGCTTGTGGACACTCTCCTCTCCCCTGTGGCTGGTGCGGCTCTGGGGGTTAGTGCTAGTGTCCCTCGACCAGACTGACGCCTTGGCCTGACAAGATAACAATCAGTGGTGGTAGGGTGGAGGACAGTAGAGGTTAGTACATAAAGTACTCCGTACCCTGTACTAAATCTACAGGGTATCCATCCCTCTACTAACATAGGTAAGCTACTAATGCCTGCCTTTACTAGAATTTAACACTTATCTCTACTAGCACACTAAACTCTGTTTAGTAGTCTCTAAGCCTCTTATCGTTAGCCCCTTTACTAGCTTGACCGGACTTACCTAGTGGATACAGTACTTAGCCCCAACTGTGTGGAACGACAAGGGAAGGCGCTGAAACTCTGCAAGGAGTAAGGAACAATTAACAGGGAACGAGGAACGAATTCGAGAAACTCGACATGTGGGTCTAGACGCGCGTGTTGGACCGCGAGCTAGATGCCCTTGGGCCTGTTTCCTTGTTAGCCTAGTGTTGTAGGCGTATCATGCCTTGTGTTGCGAATTTCCTTTGAGGCTGTGCTTGATACACCTACCTGTAGGAACGACCCCCTTTTTGCTGCAGAGGCCGGTGATGGAATTTCAATCTGACTTATTTCAATTTAAAAGCCCTCATGTCGCTGTCAATGTGATCGGACTGACTTATGCTCGATCTTTTTACCTGTAGATTGTTTTATTCTTACTTTCTTTGATATCGTCTGTCATATCACTTTCATATTCGTTCATTTCATACTGCCTAAAACCCTTCGCCTGCTGCTTATCACGACACCAGCCAACTGCAAAACAAGATTTGGGCTAGCATACCATGGATCTGATTGTCCGAGATGCCTCAGCCGCTGATGCGTCAGAGGCGTCTGCTTTCAAGGCCTACCACTATGATCCGACTATAGCCGGTGCCGTTGTTTTCGTTTTACTCTTTCTCGCGACCACCATCCTTCACTTCTGGCAACTAGTACGATCACGTTGCTGGTTTATGATTCCTCTCGCAGTTGGAGGTATTTGTAAGTCTGAACCGCTTGTTTTAGCTGTGAAATGCCAAAGACCTCCGGAATGATGTATTGATGCTCTGTGGCTAGTGCAAGTAATTGGCTATGCAGCCAGAGCGAAGTCCGGCCAGGAGAGTCCAAACTGGACCCTCGGTCCTTACATCATCCAGTCGATTCTTCTTCTCGTCGCCCCAGGTTTATATGCAGCAACAGTGTATATGGAGCTAGGCAGAATCATCATTGTCCTCGACGGAGAAGGGCGTTGTCTGATCCGAAAAGCGTGGCTTACCAAAGTTTTCGTCACGGGTGACGTATTGTCCTTTCTCCTCCAAGCCGGAGGTAAGTCAAACAAACCATTTCCACTTTTACACTATAGCGGTAACTAATAATCTCAGGTGGTGGATACCAATCTTCGGGAACTTTGGAAGCCCTCAAGGCCGGCGCCAATATCATTATCGTTGGCCTTTTCATACAGCTCATCTTTTTTGGCTTTTTCGTGGTGGTTGCTGTAGCTTTCCATCGCGCTATCAACAAGGCGCCGACCGGACGCTCGAACGGCAGCATTCCTTGGAGGAAGCATATGACTGCTTTGTACTTGGGAAGCTTCCTGATCATGGTGCGTTCTGTCTTTCGAGCGGCCGAGTATCTCCAGGGATCTGACGGGTCCCTTCTTAAACACGAGGGGTATCTCTATATATTTGACGCCTTGTTGATGTTTTTGGTCATGGTGCTATTCAACTGGATCCATCCAGCTGAGATTGGCGCGATATTGGCTGGAGGAGGCGGTGTTCAACATTGGAAGATGGATCCTTTGTCTTCACATGATCATCACCAGCGTGTTTGAACAAAGAATGGGCTTAGGTCTTGCGACTCTGAGGGCTCTGAGTAAGTAATGCATACTCGGGAGTAGAAAAGGGGGGTCGTGTCTGTACAAGATGGACGGATAGAATTGGAGGCCGGCTGCCGCATATCCCTGCTTCAGTCCCGCTCTATCCATAACTGTATCGGCCAGGTTATTCATTGTCTCTAGTAGTCTCCCAGAAGGTCATTGACCACCTCAACGATGTCTTTTCCCCAACCCACGAACGAGCAATAGTCGTCAAGAGCATGCATACAAGTCTTAGAATAGGCCAATAAAATCAGCGCTAGAGGTTGTCGCTAGTGTATAAGAGAAACACATTCCCGGGGTACAAAGTGGAAGAATGTCAAAAGTTCTGCTAAGTCCTATTAAGCCCCCATACAGCAAGGGTGTAGGGTTTCATGGATTCTAACTGGTGAATGTATATATCAGTACATGCGGCACTTCCTAAGGACCTACAACACCTCGCCGTAAGTCTCCGCATCCTTTACTATCTGAGTCTACTCCGTATAAAGCTGAGCATCTATTAGGTTAGGCAATGCTTAAACAAGAGTTAAATCGTTCCAATTTCTAAGCGTAATAATTCTACTTATTAGGCCATTCCCTAAGAACTAGGATGTTGGAATTAACACAGCGTTAATACCCTACGTCATAGGTATCTGCTTTATGTGGAGAATGCGGTTACAAAGGGAGTTCGCTTATCTTAGGCCATAATTAGCAACTTAGATAGACTTAAATAATAGGCCCCAACTTAAATTAAGGATACACAAGGTGTAATACATTTAGATTTAGGATAGCATAAGCTACAAACAGGCGTTTAAAGTCTATCTATGGGAATTCGACTTGCTACAGAGAGTTCACCTGGGCTCTCTTGCACATGTCGATGCTAGTTAGTACTGTCTAATAGTATGGGAGCGCAAGATCCTTGATTCTGAATATAGGCAAGGTTACCCAAGTGGGGTCTCTAGCAGACTAGAGATAGTAATTAGAGTAGTAGCAAATAGTATAAAGGAGAGACTAGCGGTAGAACAACTAATAATCCTAATAGAGAAGGGCACTTGTTGTATAAGTTGTCTCGATATATATGTGTACTGTAAGTAACTACTAGTGTATCATTAGTATAGAATTAGTGTTATATAGATAAGGTGCACCCTCTCTTTAGGTCCACAAAACTTTTTTGTTATTAGGCTTTAGTTCACTAGGAGAGGGGGAAGTTGGCCTTAGAAAAAAATATTGGCGACCCCTAAAGCTGAGGTGGTCCTATAAGTCAAAGCACCCGCTTTCCGATCACCCCCACTTGGCGATCACCGATTTCCCACCAAAATACACTAAAATACACCAAAACTACTCCTTTTTACTATAGCTATAACAGTACAACCCTAGCTTCTATAATTCTATAAAAATTATTATAGTTAGTTAAATACTTACTTTTACTATACTAGGTTTTTTACTTTATTTTAGCTAGTATAGTTTAAGATATAGTACTTTATATAAAAAAGTACTAAAATACTAGTAAATTATAATTAGCTATAACTTAGTATTTACTATTAGTATAAGCTTTAAACTTTATAAATAGCTTTTTTATATAGTATATTAAGTAATTATATTTTTTATATAATATATTTATCTTTATATAAGCTTATATATTAAAATTAAAATTTCTCTTATAAAGTTTTCTTAGTAAAACTTATATTTAAGTATATACTATAGTATAACTTAAATAATCTACTATATAAGCTAGCTATTATATACTTTATACTATAAAGTAACTATATAAAATATTATAGGTTTTTTTACTTTATAGTTCTAAAGTTATATAGATTTTTATACTGTTAAAGAATACTAGTAAAATATACTAAAACCTTAACACTTTTATTACTTTAGCTTTAAGTAACTAATACTCTACCTATACTTAGTAAAAAAATTATATAACTAGTATATAGACTTTATATATAATTCTCTATATATACTAATTTTCCTAGAATTATTAAGACTTGTCTTATATAGTTAAAGCTATAGTGAAAAAGAGCAGTTTTGGTGTAAATAGGTGATTGTAAAGTGGGGGTGATCGGAAAGCGGGTGCTTTAACTTAATGACTTAGTGGTGCACACTTGTGTTTCTCTTGGCTATCCTGTTAAGGAACAAAAGGTTTACCCGGGGGCAACTTAGTCAGCGCTGTGAGCTAAATACCCCCTCCTCACAGAGGGGGCAAAAAAATAGGGTTACTACTCTGAAAAAGGGGTTACTAACCCCTATCACAAATACCCTCACTTTTATATATATTATATAGTATAGTTAACTTTTTATTTCTTAAAGTAATAACGCTTACAACGTTATATAATAACAAGAGTAGTATTAATTAATAGCCTTAATTAAGGGCTTTATAATAGTACTTTTTTTTCCCTTTTTATATAATAACTATAAATTTATATTACTACTATAATATAGGTATTACTTTTATTATTGTCTACTATATATTACTAGTCCTTTTTTATTTATATTAATAGGGGTATAAATAGGTAATTTTATAGTATAACCCTTATAGCCTTTTAGCTATTTATCTTATCCTTTATAGTATAATATTATAACTTATATTATAAAGGACCTTATAATATTAAAGGGCTAGCTATTAGTGTTATTAGTAGTAATAGTAATAATATATAACTATTATTATTATTATTACTCCTAGGTATACTAACTAATTCTTTACTTAATATAACTAAATTAATGTCCTTGTTAATAGGGTTATTAATGTCTATAAAGATCTTAGGGTTAAATTCTAGCCTTACTACCTCTATAGCTATATTAGCTAATGCCTAATTAATATTACCTTAACTAAGAGGTCTTATTATATACTTAAATTAGTTAAGTATATACTATAGTAAAGAAGCTAGGTTAAGGTTAATAGTAAATTTCTCTTTACCTTTAGTATTATTATTATACTACTATAGATCTAAAGGGTTAAATAAGATATATAGTTAATCTTCTTTAGTATAGACTAGCTACTGTTTAAAGGTTAGTTACTTTATCTATTTATCTACCTTTTAATACTTAGTAGTACTATATTACTACTAGACTTCTTTTTTTTACTTATAGGCTATCCTTTTTACTACTACCTATTAGTACTATATTTCTACCTATATTACCTTTATAACTTACTTATTATATACTTCTTTTATATTTATAATAGTAACGCTAGTTATAAAGGAGTATTATAGTTTAATAGCTTACTAGTACTAGCTTTTCTATTACTATATTTCTAGTCTAGTATTTTAGTCCTTAAGGTGTTACTACTAGTACTTATAGGTAAAAGATCTCTTATAAATTACTTACTTTACTACTTTAAATCCCCTCTTTAAAGAACTACTCTATATACTACTATATTTTTTCTCTATATAGTTAGTAGTAAAGATTACCTTATTAAAGTAGTTATTATATAGTAAATAATAAATAAGATATAATAGTATATCTTTATTACTTTATTATATTCTCTTAACTAGTTAGCTAAGTATAATATTATTATATATAGGCTATATACTTGCCTTCTTAAAACCTTTTATAATATAGGCAGTAGTAAAGGCCTCTTTAACTATAGTATTAAAGGTAGTAATAAAGTTACCTCTTATAAATATAAGGTTACCTTTCTATATATACCTATAGAGCACTGTCTATTAGGCCTTCTTAAAGTATTAAAAGACTTCTATATCTATTAGTTAAAGAAAGTACGTTATATAAGGTAGAAAAAAGGCAAAGATAATATTAAAGTTAATATAATATTCTATAAGCTCTAGACTTATATAGCCTATAAATTTATTAAGGAGAAGAAGGTAATATAGCTACTTTAACTTTTCTATAGTATCTTAATAGTTATAATACTTTACCTTTTATTTACTTAATTAACTATTAGGTAGATATAAATTATAAGTATTATAACTATATATATTAACACTAAAATAGTTCTTAAAGAAGTAGCCTATTTAGTAATACTTTATTAACCTTATATATAACTTTATATTAAAGTACTATATATAGTTTATTATAATCTCTTAGTTAAAGAAGCTAGTTAGTAAATATATAAAGTAGACACCTTCTTAGACTTAGTAATTTACCTAAGTAGTAACTAGCTATATTTTAAAGATTATATATACTAGGATAATATTACTAGATGTATTACTAGACCTAACTAAAGTATATAACTCTTAATTAGCTAGATCTATAACTTTAGGTAGGTAGTTATATTTTAGTAGCTACTTAAGAATAATTATATATAGCTAGCTACTAAGGTAGCTAATCTAGTACCTAGATTTATTAGTATTCTATATCTTAGATAGGCTAATATTATACTTATAGAGGGTAGCCTAGTACTAGGTAAAGAAGTCCTCTATTAAGGCTAGGTCTAACTTAGCCCCCTTTTAGTATAACTTAACTAGTTTAATAGTGCCTTTTTTCTAGAGCTCTAGATAATTAGTAAGCTAGCTTTAGATAAAGTGCTTAAAGACTAGTAGTTAACCCTAGATACTATAGAGGTAATTAGCTATTTCTTTAACCTAGAGTAGTAAAGCTAGAAAGCTAGATTTATAGAGCTATATAATAAAGGCGCTAAAAGCTATATCTTTAGCCTCTATAAGCAACTAGGGCTAGCTAGGCTTATTTAGGCTAATATAGAGGTTATAGCCTTTCTAAAGGGCCTAGAGGTGCTTTTAAATTACTATATAAGATACACTATAATCCTAGGTAGCCTAGTGTATAAAGAGTATATTAGTTACTAGTTTACCTACCTATTAGTAAGTTACTTATTAATAAGTAATATATAATATCTTAGCTACTTTTTTAGTAGTAGTTATATTCTTATTATATTAGTAAGGTATATTAAAAGGTTAAAGTAAAGTAAGTAGTTTAGTTACTATTAATATCTATTAATAATATATCTAAATAATTACTTATTTTTAGTAAGAATATAATAAAAAGTAGGACTAGGTTAGGACAAGTAGTAACTCTATTTTCCTAGTGGTAACCCTATTTTTTTACCCCCTCTGTAAGGAGGGGGTGTTTAGCTTTGACGAAGGCTGACTAACACCCTCGGGTAATAAACGAGGAGTAAATACGAGATAAACGAGATGTGAGGTCAAGTGGCATAGCCAAGACCAGGGGGGCCCCTGCATATGTGAGAAACGACGATTTACTACGTATACCACGACCGTCTGCAGGAACCGGAATGCATAGGGGGCAATAGGCGTAAATTAGTGCCGAACGTGGTGGGGGCGAGGAAAAGAGAGGCTGAACCTGGGTAGCAGTCTCCTCATTTTCCTTCTTAGCTCCTACACATTAAATACCTCATCATCAACGCCTCTCAGTTTCCCCTCTAAGCTATAAAACTTGTTCTTCTAACTTCTAGTTGGGTACTTTCCTACCTCCCGGTATCACTGTGATACCCTTCTAAACCTTCTAGCGTCTCTCAGTCTGACCACGTTAAGACACTCGACCAACCAACTCAGGGTCCGGTCGAGTCCTCAGAACTGCCAGCATGGACAACAAAGGACGAACAGTCCGCTATGGGTTGGCCGGAGATGAACAAAGCTACCTTGTACCGGGATCGACCGAAAATATTCAAAGAGCAGCAAGCACAGTAGATTTTGACAACGTCAGCCAGGGTGTCTGTCACCAGAATGCAAGTCCTATTGAAGCAAACTCTAACACTCCCTCGCCGGCCATCGAGCTCTGGAGCGGCGGCACCGAGATGCGAGGTAATCCGCCCACGTCCATGCAGCAGCACAATAAATGACACCAAATTTGGTTTATGTACAGAAAGCGATGGCCGCGTCGATGTTGATCTCGACTCGAAGCTAGCGCGTGCGATGAGCCTCATGTATCGATCCAGCAAAGACTACAACGAAACTCAACCGCCACCCAGAACACCATCTCCGGGGCCGTCTTTGCCGCCCTACGAGGAGATACAAGACAGAGAAGGCGAGAGAGATTCCACGAGTCTCAACGTCGTTATACAAGTCGTGGGTAGCCGAGGAGACGTTCAACCATTCGTCGCACTGGGTTCCGAGCTCAAGCGGCGCGGCCATCGAGTTCGATTGGCAACGCATGACGTCTTTGAAAATTTCGTCAGGGGCGCAGGCCTAGAACATTACGGTGTTGGCGGCGACCCCGCTGCCTTGATGGCTTACATGGTGAAGAATCCCGGCCTCATTCCAAGCATGAAAAGTCTGCAGGCTGGCGAGATTGGTAAGAAGCGCGACATGGTTGAAGAGATGCTGGAGGGTTTCTGGGCAGCTTGTATCAGACCAGACGCTGTTACGGGTCAGCCGTTTGTGGCAGACGCAATCATCTCAAACCCTCCTAGTTTTGCCCATGTACATTGCGCTCAAGCCCTTGGTATACCTGTTCACCTGATGTTCACAATGCCTTGGACTAGTACCGCGGCTTTCCCCCACCCCTTAGCAAACCTGAAAAATGCTGGCGGAGACCTTTCTTTGGCAAATTACATCTCTTACGGTGTAGTAGAACACTTGACTTGGCAAGGGTGAGTAGCAGAAGCCATATAGATGACTCCCCCCCTGCTGTTACTGTTCTATATGACGACACTATCTAACGCGGAGTTATAGTTTAGGGGACCTGATAAATAAGTGGCGTAGTAGACTTGACTTAGAACCAGTGGCTATGTTTGACGGTCCAATGCTTGCAGAAACACTGAAGATACCCTTTACGTACTGTTGGTCACCAGCCCTTGTGCCTAAGCCTAAAGACTGGGGTTCACACATTGGTAAGGTTCTCCCGAAACATAATAGCTAATGAGACGACGCTCACAGCTATAAGAAGAGAGCTGAAAACTGCACTGCATTTCAAAGGATTTGCTAATTCTTAAGGTGCATCTAGACGTGTGTGGCTTCTTCTTTCGTGATCCGCCCCAATACTCCCCTCCGGCAGAGTTGGCTGAGTTCCTCGCGGCTGGGCCTCCCCCGGTGTACATCGGTTTCGGCAGCATCGTGCTGAACGACCCCCAGCGGATGATCGGCATAATACTCAACGCCGTACAAGTTGCAGGTGTTCGAGCCATTGTTTCCAAAGGCTGGGCAGACCTGGTCGGCTCCACCAGTGAGCACGTATACTGGATTGGGGATTGTCCCCATGAATGGCTCTTTCAACATGTTGCAGCTGTGGTGCATCATGGAGGAGCGGGTACCACGGCCTGCGGGCTAAGGAATGGAAAACCCACGACCATTGTCCCCTTTTTTGGAGAGTCAGTTGTTTCCTTCCAGAATCAGGGCATAAGCACATATGAAATCGCAATTCGCTGACAAACCATTCACTCGGCAAGTCAACCCTTCTGGGGTGATATGGTTGCAAACGCAGGCGCTGGTCCGAGACCAATCCCTCACAAACAGCTTACTCCCGAGAACCTCACAGAGGCCATCAGATACTGCCTCTCGCCGCAGGCTGTCTCTGCCGCCAAGGGCATAGCTGCTCAAATGGAAGGCGAGCAGGGAGTACAAGCCGCTGCCGATTCATGGTGGAGGAAGCTGCCTCTTAATCATATGCAGTGTGACCTCATACCCAGTCGGGCTGCCGCCTGGACTTATACCAAGCCCAAAAAGCCTATAAAACTGTCCAAAATTGCGGCAGAGATGCTTATGTCTCAAAAAGCGGTGCAGCCCAAGGATATCCTACTGTTAGTGGTCTCCTGCACCGCCTAAGCCTTTTACCAGTACCGCATCTCAGGCCTGGCGCTGATTTGGTTGGATAACTAACACCAAACTATGGACAGATATCACAGCAACCATATAAACATCGACGTGACACGTTGGGATCCAATCTCTGGCGGGGCGTCTGCGCTTCTGGCCACGACCATGGACGTGGCAGGGTCTATAACGGGCATGGTCACGAAGCCCATTGACGAATATCGAGATGAGACACGACGGCGAGCACGAGACTTGGCAAAGCAGAAAGAAAATGATAGTGCTGATATTTTGCGAAGTTCATCACTTGATGATGCTTCAGCTATATCTATCGGGAGTGAAGAGAGCAAACAAAAACACACCTCGAGAGCAGGCAAGGTAGCTGGTGCTTCAGCCAAAAGCATCGGGATGGTGGTGCCAATAATGACCAAAGCAACGCTGGTAGACTTTCCGCTGGCCATCACTGAAGGATTGAGAGCTGTTCCAAAGCACTTCGGAACAAATGTCCGCAGCCACGGTCCAGTAACCGATGCCAAAAGCGGCGCCGTTGTGGCTGGTAAGAATTTTGCATGGGGCTTCGCCGAAGGCATTGGTGATCTGGTGATGGAACCTGTCAGAGGTGCTAGCAAAGGCGGTGCCCTCGGTGCTGTCAAGGGAATGGGAAAGGGAGTCGCGAGCTTGATGGCCAAGAGCGGTGCTGGTATGTTTGGGTTGGTCGCGTACCCGAGCGCCGGTATTGCTAAAAGTCTGCGAACCGCTGTTTATAGTGGGACAAGGAAGGAGGTGGCCAAGGAGAAGCTACGCGAAGGGCAGTGGCTAGTGAAAAGTGACGCAGTATTAGACGTTGACCGGAGCCAGATTATTACTTCTTTCTACCGGCTACGCGGGGGCAAGTAGTTAATAATAGAGTGACTCTATAGGCCTCACCCCGGGAGGTTAGGGTTAGGACTATATGAGGGGCGAAGCACAGTGTAAGGCTAAATAGCAGTAGAGAGCGGAATATATAGAGGTATATACAGGTAGACAAGTCAGTATTACAGTTAGTAATCTAACAGTAGCTGGTAGATTCATTTCTATGTGCTTGTTGCCCTACCACTAGCCTAGCTGCTGTAGCCTGTACCCTGACGTTAGCTCCTGTTAGGCCCTACTAGTGCATGCTTTTTAAGTAGCTGGCGCCCGGCTTATCGCTGTGGTGGATGTGTCGCCAGTGTATTAGACCAAGGAATAAGATACATATTATTTTCTCTATTCCTCTTGAAGCCTTGGCTTTGTGAAACCCTTCTGTGGACTTTAGAATGCTGTCTTTGAATAAGTCTAGCCTGCTAGACCAGTCGTCCTCAGCAGTTCCTACGCTCTATCCCTAGGCTTAATGATATATAGGCACGTGTTACCTAAGAAGTTATTAACAAAAGAACGACCGGGGTTATACTAACGCTATATAGCTAGATGTCTGCTAGAACTTAGACTAATAAAATCATTAAGGCTTTAGATAAATACCCTCTATTAGTAGTTTTATAGAAGTAAGGTATATTATAGCATAGGCTATACTAACTATGCTTTCTTGGCCTAGTAATACTAGTGTTATTTATAGCATATTAGATTATAACACTGTAGTATAGACTTAATTATTAATAGAAGTAGAAAGTATAAGGCTTTACAGTAAGTATAAGTAAAAGAAGTGTAAGATAAAACCCCTAGGTCTGTTAATAAATTTATTTAAGTTCTTTATAGTAAGCTAGCCTGTCTTATAATTTATCTGTTATAGGTTATATTAATAGCTACAGCTAACTTGTTCTTGTATACAAGTAATCTTTGAAGGGACGTGTTGCTTATCCTCTGTAGCCTAAATCTGCCTCTGGTAGTTTAAAATATAGACAAGGCCTACAAGGGAAATAAACCTCTTGGCTAAAGTAGACAAAAGCACCTCCTTCTTCTCTAATTCTGTTAAGATGAACTTCGTAAGGTTGATCTGACTTCCTATAAGACTGGGAACAGACTGTCTTGGTGCCCTTTGATCCTGATTTATATCTACATCACTGTTCTGAATCCATCACCCACACGCACCTTCCAGTAACATGGCTAGGTCCATCAGGACCTCTAGACTGTGCATCGCAGTACTTTTCACAACTTAGTCAGTAATAATTATTATAAAAAGATATTATCACTTACTCTTATAAAGTCAGATGATTTAGTGTTGCGGGTTGAAAGCCTGCATTCATGGTTTTGATGCATTTCAGCATGTCTAGTTCTTCGACAAGCGCTCTGTGTAGCGCTCAGGTTGTAAGAATTACTCTTAAAGCAGCTAGACAACTGTGAGTTAAAATATGAATATAGAACACTAGTTACGTACCGGCATGAATAATAACCAGCACTAACACTAGTAGTATAGAAAATTGTAAGGATATAAATAAGCCTCATTATAGCAAGGAAGAATAAGCAAGTCTAGCTGAGAAAGTTGTAAGTGTAGTAATAATACTTAAAAATGTACACAAGGTCATGCGTGGCTATGAGATCACCTTATATAGAGTTAGACATAGGAGAATAACGCTGTATCCTAAATATTAGAACAACGGCACTACCGTAATTACGAAGTACGTAAATAAAGTACGCATAGAGGTATTGTAAAGCTAGGAGTGGGGCAGCCTCGGCGTGGCCGTTTACCCCGATGCCTTAGGCACTAATAGAAAATTTTCTACACTTACAGGCTAGAATAAGGACTAAATACACATATACACACAGATAAGAGAATAACTAACTAGATTATTTATATTAGTAGTATTTAATGTTAAATTACCTATACAAGTAGGCTCTCTAGTTAAATAAGGCTAATTTAATATAGAGCTATTTTAAGGAAAGAAAGTAAAGAATAGAGTAAATAACCTTAGCGCCTTGTTTAAATTAGTTAAATAGAACCTTTAAACTAATTTACTGCAGAGGACCATAAAGGGTAGCGGTTAACAGGCAGACAGATTGCGGGTCAAACCTTAGCATCTTAGACTATCTCAAAGTACTGACCTACCTCCTCTTAAGTCACAAATTCTCCACACTACTAACTTCAAATTCTCCACACCACTAACTTCAAATCTTTAACTCCTAAGTCAACAAAAAGAGAAAAAAAGCTTTTTTATTAGTATAGTCTATAGCTTAAATACTCTTAATTAAGAAGTAGGTCTCTAGGGGTAAATTTCTCTAAAAAGTTAATTTATGCTACTATATTCTAGATGCACCTTAAGCTAATAGAGATATTTATGTTTTCTTCTTTTTTCTCTAAGAAAAGGGTAATCTAGTCTGTGCGTAGGTCTGTGCAGGATTAAGCGAGAGACTTCAAGAGGTACTTTGATGACTCAAGTGCTGCCCTGCAATGTGTCTGCCTGTTAACTGCTACCCCATAAAGGGGAAGGGGGGGCAAGTTAAGCGTAGGCAGTAGTTATAAAGGCAGAATAAGATTATTAAAGTACAGATAGACAGGTAATATAGCAATATAGGCCTAAGCGCAGTAGAGAAATAACTAAAATACACTATTTATATCTAATTAAGGAGAAACCTATGTCACGCGTATAGTGGTTTTCTACTATATTAATGTATTAAGAACACCTATAGAAACAAACATAGTAGGAAATATATATACAACTTAACAACTAGCTAGAACAGTTACTAACATAAATATAGGCTACATAGGCTTAGGTAAACTTGTTTAATAAAATAGGTAAAGCCACAAGAAAGTAATAAGTATATTTTAGAAGCAGACTTCTGTACCTAAATAGGTAAATTCCAATAGTAACTCTCTCTACTTGTAGGCTATCTAAAATACTACGTCTATAAGCACTAATACTTTTTTAAACTATTACAAAAATTACTACACATTGCTTAATAACGCAAGGTTTTAGAAAATCTTCTTCTACCTATTATAAAGCAATATACTAAAGACAAGCTCTAATAGGCCTTCTTAGATATATGAGATAGTCGCCCTATTCTATATTCAATCTATAGATTCTACTCTTTGTTAGATTATATCCCCTTTCTTGTCTCCTGTTTCTCTGCCCACCCTGTAGATATCTTTCGCCAGTAGTAATCTTAGACTAAATTTCTCAGGACATTAGAAAAAGAGAGTAAATAAGCAGGGAAAGCACAGAAAAGATAGTTCTAGAAAAGTAATAAAAACAAAGGTACTATATAGTACTAGCTCTATAGATTCTTACTATCTATATAGGAGTATATAGAATATGCTTCTGTATAATGATGAATATGCTAGGTCTAGGAATCCGGCTGTAATTCTTGGCCTCTTATCCCCTTGGCGATGCTAATCCCCTGTCTTAATATTTCAACATCGCTAAACAAACCGGCATGCACTCCTGTAGTTACAACGCTTTTATCCTTGTCAGTGTGAATGTCTAAAGGGAACTAAAGGGTAACTAACGCTTTGAAAATTTCTCACTTGCTCCGCTGTATCAAGATAGCACATCTTGTTCTGTTTAAACCACGTTCCCTTAATACCTCTTAATGCGCATGTGTCTTCAGTATCTTGAACGTCGTGCATGCCTCCATTACTTGTGCATCTACATAGTATTAGTATATATATCTAAAGTTAGAATAGATGAGCTAGTGATGAACTTACCTGCATTCCCATCTGTTTCTTCGCTCTAAGGACCTTTCAACAGACTGTTGAGGGGCTGCAACTGTAAGAGCACCCTGAGAGATGAGGGAGATAAGTGCTACAAAGGCAGTGATCTTCATTTTGGTAGAATAGAGTACTGAGAGAATTGGTTAAGAGGATAGTAGGAGAGGAGATAGTGAAGAAGAAATATGTGTAGTATAAAGAAATACTTTAAAGGATGTTGTCAAGTATTTATAAGCTAAAAGACTCTTTAGAGGGCTACTTATATATTAAATATCATAATGTTCTGTTTTCTAATTAATATAAAAGTTAATAAAACCTTTAATACTTGGATTTATTAGCACTATTTTACGATTGGTTAATATTTATTAACCTTATGCGGCCCCTGATAGAGCTCCACATATGGCAGGCGGGTGCAGCCGTGATTAAATGATCTACAATGCGTTGCCCTCTGCGCCTAGTCATGTTAGGTAAATCCACCCTCGGACTTGCCGCTAGTTAAAATACTCTAGAATTTAATGTCATAGTCACCACTGCCGGTACCGCCATACCTATTACTTTTAACTTAAGGCGCAAGGTTCCTATTAACCTTAGCAGATTTCAAGAGAGTTGTTATATAGCCTGTAGTTTAGAGGCTATATAAGGCTGCTTTAACTTAAATAATAGGTTTAATAGTACTATTATTACTAAGCTGTAGCTGCTGTCGCCAACATATAGGTAGTGCAGCTTTGTTTATATATAAATCTAGGCTATAGTTAAAGTAAAGTTGAAAATAGGAGCTGTTCTACTTACTAGGTATTAATGTTGTGTCTACTAGATACAAAGAAAAAAAACTACAATACAGTATACACTCGCTAGGTTCACAAACCGCACAGACCACCCACTAAGCCTATCTTGCAAGGCGGTCAACCAGCTGAGCCACCCACCCACCCACCCAACCCCAACCCTTGCCACCTAACTTGCTGCTAACGTTGACTAATCCCTGTATTTGCTACTTCTAGATCCCTGTTTCTGCCAGTCCACTAGCCCCTATCCAGCAGCCTGTGATCAGTGCAGTTTGTGAATCTAGCAAGTGGATACGGTATAGCACTAGACAAAAGGGCTGTACACTGTGTTATACACAACTTGGTGAAGTGAAGGTAGCAGCGGATGTGCTAGTGGAAGGCAGCAAGACAAGCCAAGCAAATATAGCAGTGCCACTAGATAAGTGTCAGCATTATAGGAAAGATAGTTTTAGCTACCTAAGTAGGGGGGTTCTAATAGCACAGACATTCTACTCTTAAGCCTATGCGTAAGGGCCTAAGTAAGGGCCTACGTAACTTTACAACAAATTATATAATAGAGCAAGGATCTTATCTCTTTACAACTAGTAAACTAGTGTTTCTAGAGTATATTATATAATATAACTATTTATTAGATTTATTATTAAATCTAAAGATATAACGTATATATATAGTAAGTAACATATTATAGTAAGTAATAGAGTCCTTATTATATAGAAAACCTTCTTTTTTAAGTATTTATTAAAAGTATAATTCTTATCTTAAATAGGTGTAAGTTTATATACTAGTGTCTAGTGTTAATAATAGTTAGAAGTTAAGGAAAAATATTCTAGAAATTATTATTAAACCTTAACCCTGACTTTCTCTTATTATCTCTACTAATAAAAGCTAAGGTTAAAGCATAGGGTTAAGGTTAGACAATAATTTCTATAATACTTTTTCTTAACTTCTAACTATTATTAACACTAGTATATAAACTTACACCTATTTAAGATAAGAATTATACTTTTAATAAATACTCAAAAAGAGGGTTTTCTATATAATAAAGATATTTATTACTTACTTTAATATATTACTTACTATATATATAAATTATAGAATACTTTAGTTAAGAAATATGTTTATAATTAAGCTACCTTAAAGTACCCTAAGAAGCTAAGTGTACTTTACCTAATATAAATCTAGTGCTATAGTATATAAGAACCTAACATAGAACATATATAATCTATACTAGATCTATATCTCCTAATATAGTATAGAATACCTAATAATATAAAGTAATAGCTAAATCTAACTTAACTTTAACTATAGTATAAATAATCTACAACCTTTAGGTAGTATATATATATAGCGAGTTAGACAACATAGTAAGCTAGACACCTTAGGAAAAGTAGAGACATTCTAGGTAGGATGCACATAAAAGTGCTGTCATAAACCAGCCGTCTCAGTTCTTTTCCGTCACGTCAAATCCGAGGACAAGAGACTCGAGACAGCATACGATGTTTTATTTCGAGGCCATTCGCTATGTGGACATTTTCGCGTGCCACGAGGGATCATCTTAGAGTCTTGCTGTGTAAGCACTTATCCCCTCTGTGTGTCTCTCGTGCGGCACACTTTGGAGACTTTTTTTGCGAATGATCCCCTCGAGTTCAAGCCCGCGGTAAATCAACTGTCATGTACAAGATCAGGACTTGCAGCTGCTCCCGCTGGCCCCCCGGCTTAACCGGATTCATGACCGCATCTAGCGCTCGAGGCGGGACGCGTCACTGGAGTATCTACGCATGAGGGCTTCAGCAGCGTCCATTCCACCATCGTGGTCTAAGTCTGAAGGGCCCGGTATTTCCAATCGGCAACTAAATCTTGGTATCCAGCCTTCGATAGGAGCGGAACCACACGCCTAGGCCGCAATAGCTCGACATGCTTCAAGACCCAAGCTGGTAACGCTGGACACCACTCTCAAAAAGTACACCCTTGTTAGTATGCCACAACAGTGCCTTGAAACAGTGGGTATTGGCCTTGAGAACAACGACGTCATCGGCGGAGTAGCGCCCTGGCTTGATGGGCGGTGCGGTGGAATGTCATGGAGGGAGAGGGAAGAGGGAAGGAGACGACTGTGTCGGCTTTTCGTTGCGTACGTAACATGAGGGGATGGAAAAGTCGTACCTATCCCCGCAAATGCTCAGATTACTTGGACTACGAAGCCTACTTCCTTTCTTTTTGTCCAATGATCCAACATGACAAGACGTGACTTGTGCCCACCCTTGCGACGTCATCTACCCCCAAGTCCTTCACTTATAACAGTAGTCGTCACCAATTTTCTTTAGAAATCCTAAGGACCTAGCACTGGTGGCGACCCAAAGCCTTGACGATATCGATACATTTTGATCTTGTCAGCTGTCCGCCTAGGCCCGGCCTAGCGTCGGGGCATACGCAGTCGATCGCTACGCAGGTCCTAGCGCAACGCCCGGTTGGATCTAATAAAGTAATCAGGACCTTGCAGGTGTATGTGTAATTTCTAGACCACTTACAGTAGCATTGAATCGCGTTTCCCAAACACACACGAGCAGTCACTAGGTCGGCCGCTAGCAGGGTGAGCATGAAGAGGTAAACTTTGAAAAGCATGGTGCGAGAAGAACTGTTTGATATTAAAAAATAAAGGTTTGAAGTGGTTAATTATGGGGCGGTGTCGTAGCGTCCCGAGGAAGCTCTACATTATATAGAAAGTAAAGCAATAATGCTGGTTGCCCTTAACTATGTTTAGTTGATGTTATCAAGTACAGCTACTAAGCCGGCTACTCCGAAGTAAGTTACAGTACAAATAATAACGCATATAGTATTAATATACTAAAGTTTTGCCTATGAATTACTCTCAAAAAAATTGCTTCGTCATTTGGAAAGGAAAAGTTTTATCTGTATAGTTAGGCCCTCTGTTTTTGAATAAACCACTACGGAGTAGCCGGGGCTAGTACTCGGCTAAGAGATTAACAGTTCCACTACGGAGTACTTATCTCTCTATGCTGTACGGGTACGAATATTTGACCCAAGTCTAACCACTTCGAGCAGCGAATCCACTGCCACAGCCACACAGTGGGACGCAGTGGGCCTGCCCGCAAATTTTCAATGTACCTCGATTTCGCAGTACAAGGCAGCGTGCTACGAGCAGGTCAGGGCAACCAACTGCACCACAAAGCAAAATCTTCGGCAATGATCCACCTGCATCATTATCCCCTGTTCTGGATTATATAGTTACGCCTGCTAGCGACCCAACTGGTTGGGCCGTAACAGTAAGTTACCTCTTAGGCAGTGGAAGCCAAAGGGCTTCTGTATTGATATGCGTTGACCACATCAATGAGCAAACAATGGGAATGCGTGATGGCGATAGGGAACGTGGAACTTGGATTCAAGCTGCAACGCATCTCGGCAGCGCTTCACTTGATAGCAGGTTGCTTTATGGTACGTGAGTCACGTTGAGCGTTGGTGCGGCGTCAGGTCGGTGCCGGATGCATTGTTGCCTACAGCTGCCTGCCAGCCGGTAGATACAATAATCACCGATTGTTCCCTGTTACCAGAGAGGCAATTAACTACCTTGCGCCTTATACATTAGATAGGTAGTATAAAGTTGTCGCAATTACTTAGAGATATCTAGTTACCTAGGGAGCTCTAATATACATTATATATTAGATTCCTCCTAGGTACGTCATCTTAAGAGCAACATAACACAATAGTGTAAAAGAGCAGCTAGTAATAATAGCAATAGTAGTAACTAGCAGCGTTAAGTAAATTATTATAGGACAAGAGCTATATACTATAGATAGACAACAAGAACAGTAAATAACTCTATAGGTATAGAAATAAATATATACTTATAGAGTATATATTTTACTTATAACTATTATTACTATAGGGGCTATAGTAATAATAGTAGTAGGTCTAATAATAAGGCCTATTAGTAAATAATATAAGTAATAACCTAGCTTAGTAATAAGGACTAGGCTTATATTAGTACACTAGTAAATACTTTCTTTTATATATATTATAAGGTTCTTATAATATTAAAGTGTATTATTCTTACTAAAACTAGGTATACTTTTAAAGAAGCTTAAACTTAGCTTTATATAAAGTCTATTAGCTATATCTTTATATCTTTTATTATTTTAATAAGTTAATTTAACTATATTATATAAAATTAATTAAAACTATATATTATCTTATTCTTTATAACTATCTTAAACTACTTTATAGGTTTATATATAATATTTAGTCTTTTAATAATTATTATATTATTATATATATAGTTTATTATTCTTTATATAACTTTGTTTTTAAGATATTCTTTTATCTTTAGCTTTAATACTTTTCTTTTCTCTTTAAAGTACTTTTACTTTAGTTATATTAAGTAACCTTCTAAGATATAGTTAGGTCTTTTTAGCCTTCTAGTGTTTACTAAGTATCTTTATCTTTATATAAAGCTTAAAGTTCTTTACTTTAATAATAGTAAGTTAATATATAAATTTACTAATACCCTTTAACTATAAGTTAATTACTTTATATATTAGTATTAGTAAACTTCTTTAATACTTTTTAATTTTTTTTAATAAAGTAAAGCTTTATATACTTTTAATTACTATTATTAGTGTCTTTAGGTCTTATAAGCCTAAGCTAGTTAAATATAAGTTTACTAGTGTTAGTATCTTTAGCTTAAAGTCTAAGTAAAAAATAAGAACTTTAGGATTAAAAGGTATAAGACTAGCTTACTAAAAACTAACTTATATATTAATTTTATATATTAAGATAAAGAATACTACTTTAAAAGTAAAAAAAAAGTTATCTTTAGTAATATATATAATTTATATCTATATTATATTCTTAATTTCTTTGTTATATAAGTACTTTAAAAGGCTAAAATAGCTAATATTAAAAGGCTAAAGCTTATATAATAAATAAAAAGTATATATAAAGTAATAATTTTTTCTTTTTTATAGTAGTTATTAAATTTAGTTAATTTATAGCTATTATAGTTATTTAAGATTAGAAAATAATAAGTACCCTTTATATAAGACTTTATATACTAGTTAAAGTACTTTAACTAATCTAGGCTAATCTTATTTATTATTTATTTAGTTTTACTTAAGTAAATATACTAATTAGCTAGAAATTAGCTATTTTAGTACTAAAAAAAAGTAATATTTACCTTTTATAATAATATATAAAGATATTACTTAGCTATCTATATATAGATCTTAAATTATAAAAACCTTTTTATAATTACTAAGCTACTTTATGTAAGGCCTTCTATATTAGTTAAAAGTTATAATAACCTTTATATATAATAGTATTCTTATTAAGAACTTAGTCTTATTAAAATTATAAATATTATAATTCTATATTCTATACTTTATAATTATATTTTATATAAGTATAAACTAGCCTTATATAATTATAGAATCTTTAGCTAAGGCTCTCTAAAAGTTAGTTTAATATTAAAATTATATTTTTAATTCAAGGTTATTATTATATAAAGTTCTTTACTTATTAAGGTCTAATATATATTATATTATATTTATTTAGGAGTTTATTAGCTATATTTTATATATCTTTTTATTATAGAGAAAACCCTTAATTAATTAGGTTAATAACCTTCTTAAGAATTACTTTTTTTTTTCTTTTATTATCTTCTTTAATTTTAGGTATATCCTATCTTATATAATATATCCTATATGTTAGTAATAAAGTATTATAGAAGGGACCTTAAAGACAGTAGCTACTTTTTATATAGATATTTTTAGGTCTTTTTTCATAGCTTAGAGAGCAAAGATAATATAGCTTTTAATTAAAGAGGATGATATTTTTATATATAGAGGAATATTAGTATAAAGGTTAAAGAGAAAAAAAAAGAGAAACTAGTCTACTTACTATAATTATTTACTTACTATATATATATAGTTTATAACTAAAGGTAATTATATTATTATTTATTTTTACTCTTAGTTACTTACTTACTAATATTAAGACCTTTAACTTTATTAGTCTTAAAAGTATTTAAAATAATACTAGTAATATAATATTCTTTTACTTCTTTAATATTATAATTAAAAACCTTATCTATATTACTTTCTTTTTAGTTATAATAATTATAACTAATACTATACTCTATAGTACTACTAATAATATTCTATTATATAATATATTAGTATAAGTTATAATTTACCTTTAATTTTATATAATAATAAAAACTAATAGATTACTTACCTTAAATTTCTTATAAGTAGTATTAGTAATACTATTTATTTTATTATTAAATATATTAAATAATAGTAGCTTTAAAGAATTACTTATAATACTATCTTTATCTTATATTATAATATTATATAGTATAGTATAAGGATTAAATGTCTCTAAAGTATTAATATTCTATTAGTCTTATAAATCTTATTATTTAGTTTCTGTTAGTATATAGGTAATATAGCTAGAGGCAGTAGGTTATATAACACACTGCCTATTAGCAGAATCCTTTACCTTTGCCTATACGCAAGGGTACTACTACACTTGTGCTCTTACTTTACCTTGTTAACTAGTTAACTATTAATAACTAATAATTAACTACACTTTCTTATACTTTATAATACTATAAACTTAAGATATCTTATTAGTTAATTAGTAAAAAACTAATATTAATTAATAGTTAATTATTACTAATAACTAGTAATTAATAAGGCTTACTATTATAGGAGTTTACTTAGCCTACTATAACCTAGTAGACTACTAACTAAGTTAAGTATTATTAAGGCTACTTTACCTCTATAAGAAATACTATAGTGTTTATTATACTATTAGAACCCCTTTAATAAGCAAGAACCTCTTTTATACTAACTATAGTGCTATTAAGAAGAGACACTTAAGTAGTAATAATTACTATCTTATTTAACTTTTTTTTTATCTTTATATTTACCCTTTTAGAAAACTATCTTTATTTACTTTATATATATAAAAATAACTAAGAACTATTTAGACTTATAAGTATAAGTTATATTAAAAAGAAACTTACTACTTAATTACTACTATAAAAGTTATATAGTAATTATTACTAATTAACCTTAATAATTAACCTTATAATAAGTTAATTTAGTAGTACTTTATATCCTAAGGTACCTACCTTTATAGTAAAATATATTAACTATAAGAAGTATAGCTAAGAAATCTTTCTTAATAAGTAAGACCTTTTTACTATTTACTTTTACTTTACTTATTATATAGCTAAATAGGCTAAATACACCCTTATAGGTTATAAGCTTTAAAGGGACTTTTAATAGTACTTTAATAGATAAGATAAAGCCCTCTTTAGTACTACTAGTAAAGTACTACTATTAATTTTTTATAACTTTCTTCTTAACTAAGGTGTCTTTATACCTAAAGACTATTAATAGATTACCCTATATCTTATTACTATTATTAATAATAATAAGTTTTATATATAGATAAATAAAGAAGTTAAAAAGGTATAGTATAAGTTAGTAATATTTAATAGGCTTATTAAAATATATAATAGCTTTTTAAATAATATTTAATATAGTTATATTAGCCTAGAGTAGTATAAATAAAAACAGTAATAGTAACCTATTACCTATATAACTAAATAAAGCCTAGTAATATTTATAAACCTTAAGTAATAACTAGTAA